TTCGTGCTGCTGTGATTGATTGATTGATTGATTGACGAGAGCCAGACGCACCGTTCAAGGTTAGACAGTTTTGTTTGTTTGTTTTTTTTCCTCTTCAAGAAACATTAAAAGCACATCTTGCTTTTCCCCGCTTCTTCAAGCCCGCCTTAATCACACCAGGTAGCTGATGATAAGCCTCCGCACAGGGACGGATCAAACGAAGCCACCCACTGAAAAAAAGATGACCTCATGATTGCCTTACATCAAAACGAGCATGCAATTAGAGATGAGTAGCCTTCATCAGGCTGGCTTCGCTTTGTGCAGAGGCTTTTCATTGTCCGCCGCACTTAGCGGCAAACATCTTTGAAAGGAATCGCAAGAGACATGCACAATTTCATTGTTTTAATTTCAGGGATGGGGGCAGGGGGAAGGGGGCATCTACCTTGAATTTGTCGCAGTTGCAAGCTGCTTCCAAAAAATCAAACTTGACAATTATTAATGCATTCACATAACCAAAATGATGCCTTTTGTGGGTCATTTTACCGCCATACAAATGCACTTCATGTCGGAACAATTGCCTGAGAGAATGAATGCTTTTCAGCCCACAATGGCTTGCCGAGGACCGTCTGCCATCGGTCATGTTCTGCAACTTTCAGCTGCAATTTGTTTTTATTTCTCAGCTAATCCTCTCTGATCGGGTTGTGTTCGCCGATTATCCTACTACGATTGCGGGGGATGGAGACATTTTTGTTTTGTTGATTTTTGTTTAAGCTAATTCTGAAGGAACGTTATGGGAAACAATCGGACTACAGACAAGACAAGAGACTCGAACGCACTGCGGGAGCTTTTGTGTGTGCGGCGGACGCTTTCAAAGAGGGCTTGAACTTGAGTCAAACCGATGTTTTCGCTGCTCCGCGACCTGTCATGCGCAGTGGGCTGCCATGATTGGCTTTCATTTGGGGCGTGGAAAATTGACAACTGCCACATTTCCGAGCACCACTGGAGACCACGTGCGCGCATCCAGACAAGCATTTGCTGTACGCCGACGTCAGAAGCCATGCTTGGAGGGGTGGGGGGGTAAAATACCCAGCGCCGCTTAGGCGGCACTGACACAAACAAACACGTTAGCTCACCGACGGACGGAAAAGCGCTCGCAGCAAAACAATGCAAAATGAAACGGGATTAATATTTAAATAGATCATTTGCAAGATTGGTATAATTAGCGGCTCATATTCATGTATTCACTTCAGGGGATATCACGTCGAAACATGTCTACTTATTCAAATAGGATGCAACATGTCACCGGGTGCACATATGCAAATGCACATATGCCACTAATTACGCGGCGCCTGTCACGGAGCGACAGAGGCTCTCTGCAAAAATCTTCAAAGTTGCCTATGAACTGTTCAACCGGGCTGCGCAGGTCTAATTAAAACACGCGTGTCCCCGAGGCCTTATCAAAGCGCGGAAGAAATATGTACATCTCAAATGGAGGAGAATTGGTTCAATCAAGGACCTCCGACGCGCTTTGGTCCCGCTTCCTGCTCACAAACTTGATTTCTGACGGGCTCTCGTCGCCGGAATTGGAGACTACTCTGACCCTAGGCGAGGGACTATTATTTTGACATCTCCTCCCCCGGCACGGCGCTAAACGTGACACCGTCGGAATGGAAATCTGTTTTGATGGTGACTTTATTTATTTCATTTTTATTTTTAATGAGAGGTAAAGCTTTGATTCGGATTCGCCCAGCGGGTTTGTCTCTCAGCATACTCTGATCTATACGTGATGTAGTCGTTTTAATGAGAAATGATTGGATTCTTCACCTAGGTAGCTCAAGTTTGATTCTCACTGAGAAGACCGTTTTATTCATCCTTGATGTGGTGGAAAAAAGAGAGACCCAATCAACTTGACATGATCAGAAATGTTTCCATCGGGATTGTTGTGCTCCAAATATAAATATATCCCAACTGTACGTCGCCTGAAAGTTGCACATATTTATAGTATACAGTTCAACCTCTAAAGTCTTCCCAATGTTCTTTGTGGTTTGTTTAGAATTCAAAACTTTTTTTTCTTGCATACATTGAAATCAAATTGCGCTGCAAAAATCTACTCCAGCAGCACCAGACGGCAAGTAGCATTCGAGCGACGGCTCAGATAGGCTCCAGCTCAAGAAGAAACGTTGTCATGGATAGATAACGCGCTCCAACGTGACCACTTTTGTCTTTGAAGTAACATTCTTCACTGTCACAAAAGGGTGTACGAACCATCAAAATACATCAATCGAAAATAGTACACAATAGTGCCGATTCTGTCGCTACCCACGCCAGACTTCTGCATTACAACAACAGACCTGTCGCTTTTGTTGTGACGCAGGTTCGGCTGAGCTCCCGCCTGTTTGCCATGTGATCCTGTAACATTTTTATCCTGTTTTGACAGACGGTCGGAGCGGGGGGGGAGGAAATAATTGCACGATTATTTTCTGCAACAGAAATGCAATAGAATGTCTTGACCGGTAGTTAGCTTTTTACAAACAGGAGCAAATGGTCTACACTCCACCCACTGCACAGTCAAATGTCTCATTTCCGGTATGTCACTTGCGGTGCGCCATTTGGTTGACTTTTCGTCCTTTCCATTCATCAGTACAGATTACATTTGAAGTCATATTTTACACGTTACGCAAGTGCTGTGAACATTTTTCAAATGAGACTCTCAGCCCAAACGTAAAAAGGAAAAAAAAATCAAAATCAATCCAACACAATTTCAGCCATTTCTCGAAAAGCCGACAGGAGTAATACAATAATAAAAGTTGCAGTCAAAAAGAATTGCCGCAAAGGACATTTTGTGTCTCACTCGCTTGCATTCGAAAACGTATCAATTTGTGTTAACATAAATTTGCATTTGCTCAGGCAAACACAAAGGGCAGCAAGCATCGTGAGGCGCTCCGTGTGCCGAGCTGTCCGCGAAGCCTGTCTGCGCCGGCAAAATAAATGCATGCAGCTCAAATCAAAGTCATGTTGCACCCTGTAATCTTTCTCCATTAAGGATGTCACTTTTTGCAATCGTTTTGCAATTGGCGCCTAATATCTTTTACCACTCCACTGCAGGGGTTAGTGAGCTTTTGTGAGCCCGTGCACACTCATGCGCACACTGTTTCATCAAACAGTGTGAAGGTATCCCGCTGAAAGAATTGCTCATGTGTGTCGTTCAAATAGGAGATGAGAACGCTCTTGATTAGGATGGGAAGTCATGTGTGGTCATTTCACCATTTTTTTTCCCCCAATCACTGTCTGTCTATATACTGTACATACATATATATATATTGTGTGTGTGTGTGTGTGTGTGTGTGTGTGTGTGTGTGTGTGTGTGTGTGTGTGTGTGTGTGTGTGTGTGTGTGTGTGTGTATTATACAGCAACCATTCGTGCTCACAGTCACACCCACGGTACACCCGGTTGAGGGTGTACCGTGCCCACTGGCCCAAGAAAGCTGGGATAAGCTCCAGCACGCCCGCGACCCTCGTGAGGAAAAGCGGATTTGAAAATGGATGGATGTGGATGGATATTATTGTTTTCATCTTTGTTCATGCAAAGAGGACACGCCAAAATGCTTCCACACAAGGTGGATTGTTTGGGCCTGTTTGATGAGAAGGGCCGCATTATTGGGATTGCCTTGCCAAATTCCGACCGTTGGCTCCATCTTCCCCCCAAATGCTCTTAGTTGAACCTGTTGAATCCAACTGCTGTGCAACTGAAAAGAGAACAAAATCAGTTGTGAGCCAACATGTTTATGTCGTTTACTTTATGCAATTTTGACTTGTGCGTGTTGCAGATTGTTTTTTTGCAGTTTGCAAATTCAACATATGAAACCTAATGAAGTATCCAATGAAAAACTACCTAACCCTGACTACACTGAAAAGACCTCATTGGCATAATACGGTATATCATTTGGTTTGTAACAACCTCCATGAAGGTAAATAGGGAAATAAGATGACGGTCTATCACTCTTTTGGTGATTTTTGTTCTTGCTGTTTGTCGCATCAAAATTGTCATATTCAAGCACCATTATTACTGTATCAGTTTTTATTTGCACAAAACACAGCCCACCCGCAGGAAGCCATTCGACATACATTTGGTGTTATTGACCGAGGTTCATAAGCTGTAATTTGAAGTTGTAGCGACACTGCAGGGTGCCTAATATCCTTTGGATTGAAGATGCTTTAGATAACGCGCCGTGAAAACATCGGACGAGTAAAAAGGTAACGCTTCCTCGATGCAGATGGAGCGATCCGAAATCAAGCCTCCCCTATTCTGCCCTCCTTCCTCTTTTGGCGCTCCCGCTTCCTCTCACACTCACCCCCCCCCCCCATCTCAATTGTGTCCCTCGCCTCTGGCAAATGGGAATCATTTGTTTGTGTGAACTTCCCATAACCTGCAGTGCGTGCGACACTTATCATTCAGAGTGCTGGGGCTCCTTCGTCCTCCTTCGTTATGATCCCTCATCTATTCTCGCCCCCTTTCTTTACCGCATTTCAATATCTATTGTTTTCTTCTTTTTCTTTTTTAAATTTGACTGATCTCTGCTTTCAACCCATAAAACGCTTAAATTAATAAACGTTAGAATATCTTTTATCTCCTTGTATCCGGGATCGCCAATGGAGGAGAATGTTGACAAACGTTTGGCAGGTTTTGAACTCAAAATGTGCTTTTGTTTGTTTGCTTCATTTTAGGCGGCATGTTGGCCGAGCAGCAAGTAGTCCGACTCAAAAGTTTTGAGTTCTCATCTTGACGTTCCTTGATTATTATTTTTTTCTTTTGTGGTGGTACTTGATGGAAAGGTTTGAGAAGCACTGCTTTATCGTACACTTTGATATTGTGTAGAAATGTGGCACTGATCAGGTTGTAGTGTATTTCTTTGTAGTTCATCGCTCCTTTATTTATTATTTATTCAGCAGGAGTACCAGGAAGAACTAGCTAAAGGTTTGGGTTGTGGTTGACCTTGGGGTAAGAAAAAAAAAAAGATTGGTATTAAACGTGAGTTAGCAACCTTTTTGACATTTCACCTATGTTCTCAATTTAGGATCTTCAATGCCAACATACAAGGCGGTGGCTTTCTATGACCATGTCCAATTTGCTTATCCAAATGACATTGCTGTTTCTTGACGGATGCCATTGTAGTTTTTAATGGATAAGTAATGGGAACATTTATGCAGTTCCCCTTTTCTTTAGCACTTTCTGATCATCCAAAACAGCCAATGAAACTGCTTGCTAATGGTCAAAGGCCATCGGCGCTTCTTAAACCTAAATGAAGTCCTCTCTAGACGATTCTTATTATGGTTTCTTATAAATAAATGAGTGCCCTTCTTTCTCAATTTGCTCACTTCCTCCCTTAATCCCACTATTTTCCCCATATAGTGTACCTCCCATTTCGACCCCCACCATCGTCCCTCTCCAATCTCCCTCCCCATGTAATCTCAAGGTGCACAGGACTGTTTTCATTATGGCACCACTCATCTTATCGTCCACCCTGTCATCTCCTCTGTCTCCTGTCTTTTTTTTTTTTTTTATGCCTTTATTCTAACAAGTCTGCATCTCAGAAGCCGGCAGCGGTCCACCCCTTTTTCATTTCCCTAATGTTCCCCACCAGACGCACCCTTGCCTCCCCCTAACCCCTAATTTCATTCCCCTAACCTGGTCGCCATCATCATCGTGATGTACAGCACACACCCCAGAAACCCCCTCCCTCTCCTCCCCTCGCTCAGTGTGTGTGTGTGTGTGTGTACGTGGTGTCTTATGTGTTTCAGTGGCCTTTTTGGTCTGCTCTCTATCTGCAGGAAAAACAGAAATAAAAGAGAGGGAAGTAAAGATGGACAGAATGAGAGGAAGCAGGCGTTGGGGCCGAGGTGAGCCCCGAATCTTCTTGCTTGCTTTAATCCCTCATTTATGTGAACTCAGCTTTGGAAATGAAGCTGTCACTGTATTTTACTTCCTTTCAGCCAGCCGCTGGTATAATCACAAACCACACGCGCGCGCACGCACACATACATGAAGCACACAAAATCACTCAGGAAAGGTGGAAATTCATTCCAAAGGTAGAGGCAGGATGCTCACCTTGTCTCCTGCACAGGGAATCTTCGGATATGTTGGAGACAGAGAGGAATTATGGGGAAATGCACTGGTGAGGAATGATAGGCTACAATCTATGACTTTAATCTGAATTCGATGACACACGTCATTCATTTTTGGCCAATTTTCTGTAGTGCACAGAGTCCATGTAGTCTTTTTACTCATTTTTAAGTTGACAAACTATGCATACTCTACTATGGATGCACGTAAAACGACAACGCACTAGCTTCCTATGTGTTATGAGAATGAGTGCAATGGTGCATACATTACACATGAATCTACATATATTATTCAGTAAAATAATAATAATTGTTCATTTTAATTCATAATTTATCGAAGACATCATGCTAATTGAAGAACCAAGTGCACCATAACAGGCAGTCATGAAAAGCGTCAGCTTGTATATTATGGAGCAAAGACTTACACTGCCATCTAGTGGTTCTTCCGAACTACTCAATGGCTGCTGACAAGACATTTTAATCTGGTTTGTCCAAAAAGGATCTATTCAATTGTGTATTCATTGTATTTACGTTGTTTATTAATTGAAGGACAACATATTCATAATAACTGAACTGCAGAATTCATCTTTTAAAAAAAAGTAAATACTGTAGATACAGGATAAAATTCTCGCTCTTTTTTTAAGCATACAACCACAATAATTTACATATCTATAAATTTGTACCACAGAAAAGCCAGCATTATTATCTGTTTCAAGGCAAACTTTGTAGAAAATATTTTCATATTCAAATACATCAGGCAGGTTTAATGAATGAAGTGAATATTTCCAGAGAAAAAGTACAGCATCCTAACACTGTCTTTTAATATATTTTATATCAGATAGCACTTAACCGTTCATTTGAATGGAGATGTAGATATTCCTCAATGCAAGCTTAAAGCTTAAAACATCTTCCCAACGGCCTGTACAAAGTCATAGGTTCATTAAGATAATCATGAGGAAACAAACGCATCGCAATCAAGATTTTAGGATTCTGTCCATCTTGCTTTCCACCATTCCTATCTTGACATCCCCCCCTTCGTCATCCTCCTCAGGTGGAGCCGCCATCACGATGATGTGTGATGGCGTGCCGTCGGAGCGGTGAGAAAGAGGCTCTCAGATGAGATATGTGACTGGCATGCTAACACACACTTTTATCTGAGGAAGAAGAGAGCGACGAGGCCCCCGCGTCTCCACACTGTGCCTTTGATTAAAGTTCCCTGGGTATACACTCTCGCAAAGACACACAGTGTTCGCTCATGCACCAGCACACATAAATAAATTGCAGGCAGGAGCGTACACACATACAGTGTGTGTGTGTGTGTGTGTGTGTGTGTGTGTGTGTGTGTGTGTGTGTGTGTGTGTGTGTGTGTGTGTGTGTGTGTGTCCCCATTGTGGTTTGCTGTTATTTTGACCTGAGCCAGGCAGCGTGTCCATTATGGAGCTGATATGGAGGATTTGGCCAATGTTGATTTTAGATGGCCATAAATAAGCGGAGTGTATTTTCAGAGTCACAATACAATTCAGTGAAGAAGAGCTCTCGGTTTTATCCCCTGGACTCATCCACAGTGCGTGAAAGCGCACACACACACAGACACAAGGCACACTCCTCCAATCGGATTTGTGTATGTCTGGACAAACATATATTTAAAAGTACATCTTGCCCAGCCCGACTCAGTTTCAGCTTGGAATGAATGTTTTACATTCCAGCTTGGCTTTAGGCCTTGCTTCAGTATGTGTCTTCTCAAAGAAATGATGGAGGGAAAGTAGTTAGAATTTTGATGAACAGCATCATCTGGCAGTGAGGTTTCAATAGCCTGGGAACAAACTGTATATCCCTGACCGATGGAAGCGTGCAGGGGGAATGATGACTTTCTTGGAGAAGAAATGGGCAAACATGCCTTGTCGTGTTATTGCAAATAATATACCCTAAATTTATTTGTATCCATAGGTCAGTATATTTGTGCAAATATTGTTCCTGGGAGAATAATATACAGACGCAAATAACGTAAAAGTAATTTTCCATTTTGTTAGGAAAAGTTAATATTTCTTGTGATGCAATTGATGGTATACATTGTATGGAAATCATTTTTTTCTGTCAAATCCTTTGTTTACTTTTATATAAAAAATTATTGATCATAATCATACTGGGTACATGTGATGCGTTAATTAATATATTCAACCACAGAGATGAAGCAGACACTTCATTTGGTACAAAATACGGTACCGGAATTGTCTCAAAAATTCTGCCTATATAAACACAATAATTTTGAGTTTTGATTGACACTGGGACACTGAAGCATTCATTTAGGTTTATTGGCATTGCAGTGTGCAACATCATATGAAGGATAAGGTAACCAAAATATTCCAAACACATACCTCTCATTATGATCGTATGTTGCAGGAGAAAGAGTATTAACATTTTCTAATTTAACAACACTCATACACAACTTTTGTTTGGTTTTGTTTCTTGTGGAAGGGGTGATATCTACATGACATAAATTATGATGTACTTTGTTTCCAAGGGAAAATAAAATAGCAATGTAATAAACAGTTGATTTGAGTGATTTCAGTCAGTCCATGAATCAACATTTTTTAGTATACTGTATTTACATCACCCAAAATCTCCTTGTTGCTATGTACAGAAACGTAGAAAATATGAAAATATCTCAACACATATTGCGAACATGCATTATTTTACTCTGCCTTCTATCCACCCTTTATCGGATTAGTGTTTTAACAGCTCGGGAGTTTGTCAGTGTAGCTTTCATGATGTCAGTAGCCAAGGTGAGCGCTGATATTTTTAGCGACTCGTGTATTCAAATGCTACATTAAAACAGCGGTCCTTTGGTGCAATCACCAGTGAAGTTAATGGTGCAGCACATTGAATCTTGGACAGTGTACTTACTATTTGAACCTCAGATACTGGGCGAGGTTCCATTTTTTTTTTTGTCCACTATGATTGAGAGCAAAGGCATGATGTAATAGAAAACAGTGATCCCATGTCAGGGGTCTGTCCGTACAGAAGGTGAAGGACTGGTTGGAGGACAAACGGGCTGGGGAAAGTGTTTGTACATCTCAGGGGCTTGACCTTGAGGAGGTGATGGGATGGGGGTGTCTGGAGAGGCTGCAGGGAGAGAGAAAATGTTGGATTAAAAATGACTTTTTTAAAAATATGGATCCACCTATATATTTGTTCTATTTTGCATTTTCTCTACCTATCTGTTGGGTGTGTGCCACAGGCATGGTACTGATGAGCAGAGTGTGTCCAGTTACAGGGTCCTGGGTTAGCTGGGCGTGTGCTGGATGGTGAAAGTGGGTGTTGTCCGACGTCAGGCCTGGGCAGAAAACAGAGAACCCCATTGGTCCAGCATCAGCATGAAAATTCCCTACCCTATGCCCAGGTAATGTGAGTTGTTTGACTTTTACATATTTGTGGATAAAGTTTTGGTTGAACCTTAGATTAACAACCTTTGCTGCATGTACAGCTCTTTGTATACAGCGGTGGTTGTTTTAAAGTGCTCGATGAAGACAGTTGAGTTGAGTTGAGCAATCGATTGCAGAACTTAGATCTCGAGTCCCCGGATGTTTGTCCCACGAACTGATTAAGCGCACTGAAAATTTGAACTTTTACTCGTAAAACTGAATGTGAAAAGTCATCGAATTGAATCTGTGTGGAAAATATTTGAGTTTGTATTTGTAAATCTGAATATGAAAAAAATTTCAGCAAGGAGTTCAAATTCAAAATTGTTCAATTCAAATTATACAATGCAATTTCAATGGATGCCCTTCATATTCAGTTTTTCAGTGCACGTAATCAAGTTTCGCGATTCAAATTCAAATATAAATAAACCAGATTCATTTTTCTGGTGGCACATATTTCAGCCCCCAAAAAACAAACAGTTTCATTTTCACTTTTGTGCTCGGGCAGTGTTTACGTCGAGACGAATTCTCACCTCCCAGCAACATCTCTTGCAGCAGGTTGTCGATCTTGGCGAGACCGCACAGCTTAATGAACTGGAGTTGTTCGATCATTTGCCAGGTGATGCTTTGCAGAGTGGGCAGAAGGAGTAGCAGCTCCCCAAAACGACCCCGCGAGTCATACTGGCGGTCATTAATGTAGTCTTCCAGACTCATCTGAACCTGCAACCCCCAATGCCAACACTTTTAGCATTTAAAAAAAAAAATTCTCTATTGTGAATCTACAATAATAGTTAGATTTGTGTTTTTACGGAAAATCGCCCTTGGGATGTTTGTCCCTGATCCTAATCTGAAACATGATCAAACCAATTACCTGCAAACGTGTGGCTTTGATTTTGGAAGGGTCCCGCAAAGACTTTGCATCTGCATATTGGGCGACAAGACAGGATGAACACATGAATACCGTGAATAAAAGTACAGGTGATAAAATGGAAATGTAAACCCTAAAAAAAAAAGTACAGCTTACGTTTATTGTCTATTAATGGTTAGTTTTGGCCTTATAGTGATATTTGTTCTACTTTTTGGAATGCCTTGAGTTTTTAGTGAGATGGGTTTTGTTTTGAGGTGAATGTTGTGGCTTAGAGTAGCCACAAGATGGTACTTTTATGTCTTTGTTATGTAACAAATTCGGCAATATGAGCGTTGCATGCTGGGAATGTTAGTCAACAGAAAGAACCAATGCCATAACGTTAGGTACACCCAGTAAATTGACGATAGTCAAAGTTAAGGTTAAGATAAGGTAAGGTAAGTTACCAGGGTCAAAAAAGACAATGGCCTTGAGTGCAGCGTATTCATTGTCATCGATTTGAATATCCTGGAAAGGTTGGACCAGCTCATCCAGAACTCTGTTTGCCACCCGGCAGAGCTCAGGTTCCGGACTGTTCCTGTGTATCACACAGCCATTACCTGCACACACACAAGAGTGGCTTTTAGACTGCAGGAACCAATTCCAGAAGTTCACCATATACCATGGTAGTTTGTGTAATCCCTTCATTCACACACAAATAAGGTTCCTGGTCTTGAAGGTTTCACCAAGGTCAGCCTAGGTACCTCCTGGCACTAAGGTCTTCCTGTACTTACCTGGAACGCTTTGAGGGAGTGGGATTGTACCGAAGTACGGTGATTAATTGGTTGAACTTGAGGATGTGCTTACATCACATACCAATATATTCTGTGAGTGAACCCTGACCTTTTTCGACATGTATTTTTGTTTTGCACGCTTTTCCGGATGGATGTTTTGAGACGGTTACAAAGACGTGTGAGCGCGCCATCATCTTCTATGCCATCCTCCCCAGACCTGCTAAGTTTCATTTCACCTAACTTTGTAGGACACCTAAATAATTTTCTGTTACGGTAATTATTTTCTGTTACTCATTCGGTGTTTCTGTGTCAATAGGTAAGTGGAACAGGGGCAGAAACCAACTCCGCCTGGATCATGGACGTGCCAGACCGCTATTTCTGAGGAACAAAGGTGCCGTGTATTCAAACAGCGAGTATTCCTGTCACTATAATACCGACTAAACTTTCAGCAATTTTTGGTTTGGTGGTATTGCTATTATATTTACAGGAATAGTCAATGTTTGTATTGAGTTCCTCACCTGCTGTAATAATTTTCAGCAGCACAGTTAAGTTACCTACAGTGTGTGAAGGAGTATACGGGGTCAGATCTGGGTATGGTGACCCAGAGGCCCTTGTTGAGCCTATTTCAAAATTCTAGGTAAGGTCATGGTAAAGATGAAAAGGAGAATGTGCGAGAACTCTTTTGTGTGTGTCACAGTAGGTTGGTGACAAAGCTGCTTGCGCTATGACGCTGCCACACACCCCAGCAATGAATTCTCCCACTTATACTTTTGAAGTCACAAAAAGAGAGAGAGAGCCTTTCTAGTCAATCATTCCTCAGCTAACAAAACATTGAATCAGTCATCACATTTCAGTGCCGAATCATATGAATGCCCATCATCTCGAGCGAGATGACATTCTTGCCGCCACTTACCTAAAAGCAGGAAGTCCTTGAATGGTATCGACCTTTTGGCCACTCCCAGCAAGAGGTGCTCGCCTGCATGTGCCCTGAGCAAGCTCACCTGGAGGCAAACACAGCAGACTTGAAACACAAACAATGAAAGAATGCATGCCTCTGGTTCTTACATTAATAACACTTATAAAATATCCAGGAAGTAGAGTATATAGTCTCTGTATGCTAATAACTCTCTGGCTAATCATTACTTTTCAATATTACTTGATTCAAGTACTTGGCTGGTGAGCTTCGTACAAGCATGATGTTTGGTTGTGGTCTTGCAGCCTGTTCTGTCAAGACTTTTAAGTGGAAATTTGTAGGGAAAAAAAGCATCTAAATCTAAATTGCGCTGGAAATGCAAGCCCAACTAAACAACTGAAAAAGGCACCCCATTAACAAGGACGTATCAACGCTTTTATACAAAGGTGATGGACACCGGACTGTCTTCCTACCTGGTCATCCAGCGGTAGTTCTCCAAAGGATGGAATGTATTTGGCCCATTCCACCAAAACCAGTAGTTGCTGTCTCATCGAATCGCACACATCGGCAACAGTGGCGGATTTCTGCTCTCTTTGAGCTGCTATTCCAACCGGAGCGCTGATCTGAATAGAATCAAGGAGTGATGATAGTTTGAGTCATCACTGTGGTCCATGTACACACCATAGTTATTGCTGATCTTAAGGTCTATAACTGGAGTTGGAAGTGGGATGACCACCTGTTGAGATATGGATTCAGCTTGGGCCAAAACTGTGATGGGTGGGAGGTCTTGATTGTCGGGAACACTTCTTCGAGAGCTGATCCGATCTCTCTCATTTTGCACAGCTAAAACAAAATGCACAGCTTAAGAAATGGGGAGAAAAAAACAAAACAAAACAAAACTGGCTGTTCAGTGAACCCCTTTCTCCAAGAGGAGAGCAGACAGCTGGTTGGGCTAATGCCGGTTAAGGTTTGTGCTTGAAGTGGGCCGGAGTACCAGCCCTTTTTAATTTTATCTTGTAGCATAGAGACTTTTTATCGGGACATCACGTGAGCCCACAGTACCCTCTCATTCTATTTCTCTCTTGCACTTTGTGACTCCTTAAGTAATTTGTGTACCTCCACCCCCAAAAATAATAAGCCTCCCTTCAAAATAAAAGCTCACCAAATGAGACATTGACGTTGATGCAGTAGCCTTCTGAGGCTTTTATTTTGAAGTTGGCCCGTGTGGTGGCTTGACGACTTAGCCCCGAAACCATATTCAGTTGCTGATTTAGGACGATATGAAAACACAAATGTCATTGTATGATATGGCACAAGCCTCTGCCATTATTTATTATGGATTTATTATCCATTGTCTATTATACACTGATTTGTTAATTGAGTAACTTAATGATCTACTGTTGGCCATCTCCTAATTTACCTGGCACCAGACGGATAAGTGGACTATCTGACGATAGTCCACTTATTTTCCACTTGAAGCGCTGGGTTGAAGTTAATATTTAGAATCGTCATAGAGGCTGGCGTCAGCAAGAGGAGTCAAACGTTAACCAGTTGCAATCCTGAACAACAGCTTTGAATAACGCATGATTAGGGGTCATAAAAAACCGTGCCAAGGTTATTCTCCTAATAAAACACATACTCAGACGCACTCACGCACACACACACACACACACACACACACACACACACACACACACACACACACACACGTTTGTAATCAGCTATTTTACAGCTGCCATGATTTCCAACCATTTTGAAGCAGCTCTTGGAAGTAAGCCATTTTAGATTATTGCCTTGATGAAATATTTCCACGAAATTGTGAGATCTTTGTCTCTATATTTGAGTAGTTTCATTATGGTTATTTGTCCTGAGTCATGTAAATATCTTGCCGATGACAGTGGGTTACCTTCTTTTTTCATGCCAGCTCGGAAGCATTTGTTGAGTCTGCAGAAACGACACTGGTTCCTCTTATCTTTGTCGACGACGCACTGCCTGCTAAACCTACGCGTGACGGAACAACAGTTCAAGTTACAGCATTCGCATGCACAAGATGAGCCACATGGTTTGTCTAGCGCAAGTTAACAATGTACTCTACCTTAACATGAGAACTGGCTTGTTAAGCTTTGGGTCCACTGTGCTGGCGTGCACAGGTGCAAAAGGACAATATGCCCGCATGCACACAACGAGACACACAATGAGATTAATTGAAAAACCTGCACCGGCAGATCTACCTTTGCAAAAATAATTCTGCTCGCTTTTGAGGTGTACTTTGAAGACTATATATACACAGAGAGAGCGAGAGAGAGATCTATCTATCTATGTCTATATCTATATATATATATATAGATATAGATATATATATGTATATGTGTAGAGAGAGAGAGAGAGAGAGAGAGAGAGAGAGAGAGAGAGAGAGAGAGAGAGAGAGAGAGAGAGAGAGAGAGAGAGAGAGAGAGAGAGAGAGAGAGAGAGAGAGAGAGAGAGAGAGAGAGAGAGAGAGAGAGAGAGAGAGAGAGACATTAGTTTGATGTCAAATAGCACGGCTCTTAATTAAGCTCCTGTCTTGGATATTAATATTGACTTAGTGCAATTTAAGAAGATGCAAGTGTTATTTTCAGATTCCTCCTCGTTTCTTCAGTATGTAGCTGCATAAAGAGGCTGTAGATTTTTAATTTGTGCACAATGCATATCATAATCGGCGTACCTGCAAGTGTAGATGTGGCTCTTGCGTATGGAGCGCCGAAAGAAACCTTTGCAGCCGTCACAGCTGGAGGCGCCGTAGTGTTTCCCTGTGGCTTTGTCTCCGCAGATGGCACAGTTACTGTTGGCCCCATCCGGACATGGCAGGCTTGATTCAGTTGGCATGCTCTCTGAGACAGACAAAACCCAGGGAAATACGCAACAATGTAGTCCAAATTGGTTGACAGTATTGGTACTCTAGCTCCCAAGTGAACAACATTTTTACAATCTTGCGTTTCTGTTTTTCTAAACTGAACATTAATCATTAAGTTGATGGCTCCTATGAATTGCTTCTCAAGGAAAGTTGTATCATATAGTTGAAAAGTTTTCCTAGGTACAGATGTCGAAGCGTCGGTTTGGGCCGCAGTACGTTTGCCAGCGAGAATTTAGTGTTTTGCCGACACCGAATACCGCTCAGATAAACTCAACCGGGAAATGGCAAACATTGGATTCACTCAGTGGCTCCCTAATAAACATTCTTGTTGATATCCTTATTTCCACAGCCATCTCCGCATGGTTATTACCCTTGTCACGTTGATTATTATGATAAGCACTGCCGCTTTTGTCACCATAAACAAAACCATCATCATTATCATTGTTTGCCACCTTGAAAAAGTTTGCCAAATAGAAATGAACATCATGCGAGAATGGAAAGAGGTAATTTTACTTCTATTTTATCATCCGGCGTGATGGGATGACATCAGGAAAATAGTCACTCGTCAATAAAGCATTTTTATGACTCATACCTTCAATGCCTACCCAACTGTTCTCAGCTTTCTTAAAATTCTGATTGCAAGCTTTTATTAGTCTTCCCTGTGCTCTGATTTTCTCATCTGGCTTGCAATCAAAGAAATGAACGTCATTCACAACAACAATCAATGGAAAACAGGGTAACATGCCCAACATAAAATGTAATCAGTTTTCCAATCATCAACATTTTAAAAGCCGTTCATTGGCCCTATGTACCCTTTTACCGACAGTTTCCACACAAAAGGCAAAAAAAAAAAACTATATCATAGTGGTCAATCTGTGTGGTCTATTTATATTTTGAACGGACTTGTGATATTGTCAGAGTATCTTTCATGCAATTTGTTTCCAATGCATTTTTAACATTCGTGGTTTTTACTAGTAGTGCAGCAATAATGCAACGGGGAACGCAGCAAATTTGTCCTATTGCTCCATGAAACTTATTTTGGGTTGTTTAATGAATTCTATCCTTCCCTGGGGGGGAGTTTAACCAGTTTTATTTGTACATTATGCATTTATTAATTTGGGTTTTTCCACATTTGCTGCTTTTTTCATGTCCAGCATTTGTATCATGTATGTTTATTTTGGATTTATGAATTAATGATTTGTAGACCATGTGCTTTTATCAGCTGTAAGATATTAAGGAATGTGCTTCCTGTCCATTTGTACTCAGATGTACCCCAAATGAGCGTATGAGGTGTGTCCGAACGTTTCCAGGAAGTGTCGCAAAAGCTACTCTATATTTCAAGCCCAAACAACAAGTCGTCAATGTGGGCCAGACTTTAAACAAGCACATTTACATAAACAAAAGATAAAACCTGAGGTGTTTGCATTGCAAAAAGAGGCAAGAGTTCTGACACTATGACAAGGCACCTGCACAAAATACCCGGAGCATCTGACAGTTCCTGCCTGAGGAGACCATTGCTGTGTTTTGATTCCCCCCACTTTCTCAAGCTAAGGACGACTATTTAGGGCACCTACCGGTATCTTGAAGACGTGGATGACATTGATAGACTACAATGGAACTGCGGAGGATCGTGAAGAATCCACGCAGTAGTACAAGAGGGCGTGGTAGAAAAGGGTGGGAAAGCGTGTTCGACTCTTGGGGATGACTTGGTAGGGAAAAATATCGTATTTGAAATGCTTTTTATGATGTTTTTCTTTTATTTGTCATATGTCAACAACATTCTCAGCAGCGAATGTGTCGTATATTCTTAGTTCTTAATTCTCAGTGCCCTGACATTTGCCTAACACAGTATCGAAGTGTCCTTTTTGAGCCAAAACAATGCACAGGCACCCCGCTATAGTCCACTTATTAAGTTGTCTGATTATCTTACCCCCACTGTGAATATTATTTGAGGGTTGCAGCTCAAGGAGCAGAAATCAACTCGACTCCTTATCTCAGACAATGTAGCTCAATTGCAACGCATGTGTCTGTGTCCGTACAGCCTTACCTCCTCCTCCATAAAGTACATCGTCATTGTCAAAGCCCAGTGTGTTGTATGAAGGATCCAGACAGTCACAGTAGTTGGCAACTTCCATATCTAATAGAGATTTACTCTGAGCAACAGTTGGGTACTTCATTCCTGTGATCCTCACACTTCTTTTCTTCTGTCAGTCCTTCCCCTTGTTCCTTGTGCTCACTCGTGTCCACGTTATCCCACATCTTTCAGAGATGTGGGATTAATAAAACATCTATCATCTGAGGTGATTGGTCCGCGAACAAGGTGAGGAGGAGGAGCTGTTGCGAAGACTTCTCACCTCATTGTACAATACTTATCTCTCCTCTCCCCTGCACTGATCACACTGATGGCTAGATGACAGTGTAAGATATCAGACCTTTTTTTCAATGTTTTTAAGAGTATGAAGTGTTTCGTTTGATGAAGGCGGATATATCTCAACCTTTTTACTTGTACAGGAAAATGTGTGCAAAGGCATGAGCATGTGCACAGATTTATGAACGTGGGATGTTGGGTGTACGTGTCCTCCCCAGGCCTAATCTAATCAATAGTGGAGTAATAGCAACACCGCCTCAGCAGATGCTATCTATAAATGCGCTCTTTGAAAGAGCCAACCACTGATAAGTCCATTAAAGCCTCCGCAAACAGTCTGGCTTCGTAAAACTCACCTCGCTGACCATACCCCTTATAAAACTTGACGCAGTTTCAACTTTTTAGTTCAGTCATGCAACGGAAGACTGATTATGAATTAAACCAAAAGGGTAATTATATTATGACCGCAGTTTATTGAATAAGATCTCACTGAGCATGCAGCAGTTTGTATTTAAAGTAGGCCATTTGAGGAATGTGTAATATCGTACAATGGTGAGAGAGGCCAACGGAATTCGCGAGCAAGCGCACAAACGCAAAACCGGAAAATGCAGTGCAAAGGCAACAGACCTCAATGGAAGTCACCCAAAATGAGAAGTTATCCCCTAATTTTTTCACGTTTGCACGTCGCCGGGTTCTCTCGGCCACCAACTGTGGCGCTTCATCTGTTGAGCCAGGAGCACTTCAAGTTGTCACCATAAAGCGGTTTAAATGTGCAGCCAATTGACATCAGGGTTTGTGCTAAACCTTATTGTGTTTCACAAAGTCAGCAGTTTGAGGTATTATCTTGAAGACAGTCGTAAAAAGTTAAGAGGGCGTATCTGAAAGGAAGTGAGAGCGGAGATAGACCGACTGTCAATACTGAGGAGATCACAAGCTGTGCTACAATGGTTGCCTTTACGAAAATATATGGATAACAATGAGTTCCATTGACATTGTGAGCATGTTAGGATGTTTATTATTCAGATTTAAAACAAGATTGAGCATTACCACAAAGGTCAATTTTTGGATACTCTGGGGTATCGAATATATAACTAATATTTCATACAAAGTACAGTATTTGATATGTTGAGCATGGTTGCTTTGTTAGAATGAGAGAGAGAGAGAGAAAGGGGTGATTACATTTTAACCAGGCGGTGGGCTCACTCCTCCTGAGTCATCACATTTGTGGAGAGTGAAAATGTGCTCTTAACCATTATGTTCGCACCTAATAACACCACTGACAAAAAGCATTTCTAGGACTGAGGCTGTGGCCGTAATAGATACACACCAGCTACTGCAGTATAAGCAGTCAATTTAACAAAGCAAAAATTCAAGGAGAACTGAGTCTGTTTTTAGTAACTTGTCCAGTACCATTCTCTGATGAATGCTTGCCCTTGGCAACAATCCCCGAGTAGTAAGATTAATAAGTGCATAGTCGTTGGTTTTTACGGTCAACGTGACATAATTTACATCAAAGCCAACCGGACGATTCTGAGAAAACAGCTTCAGCTTGGAAACCACACGTAAGATCTTTGGGCGACTACTTGTGTGTGTTTATCATACAGTAATTTCAATATTTTGGCTAGCTTTATCCATGAGGGACACAATATCAGAAACACCGCTCAGATGCATTATCTGCAGTACAAGATCTTAAGTGGGCAGGTGTACCTAGGCACAGGATCCACTAAAATGTTGAATTTATAACAACCTTTTTCACGAAAGTTTTTAGGGTAATTGCTGTTGCAGTTTGAAATAAAGAGTCGTCTCACTCAGTCAAGTTCAGTACTACATCACTTGTTTTCCAAAACATGTTGCTAAAATCATGCAATAAAATATTAGCTGCGGGAGCATTTTTTCAGTATTGGCTTTATATGCGGGCTAGAGAATCACCCAGAAGTCCGTCTAGTTAAAAGAATGTGAAAGTGGGCTATTGCCTGATCTTTGCACCACATCCTGCGCATCTGCCTTTGCGAAATACTGTGAGGTGACAGCATCGGCCTACGAAACATACTGTGTGTGGGTGTGTGTGGTGGTGGTGGGGGGGTGGTAAGAGAAACTACAATAGCATGTTTCAGTTTTAAACCATTAGATTTAATTCTATTTTGAGTGACCGTCACTGTGTTGTCGTACCCATAATATAAAATTGGTAAGATTCATCTTGGAAAAGACAAACACCTTCTGTTGATGTGTTTCATTTCAGTGACATATATACAGCCGATGCGCCTTACCTGTGGTTCTGTTCCTGTCTGGGATGTGCATCTATCCAGGAGTCTACGCTGGCACTGAGCAAGTCCAACTAGGAGAGGCTGACCGTGTTTGAAGGTAAACGCATTCAACTTGAAAAAGTGAAGTTTGGAGAGGCGAGCAGCCTATAATTCATGGAGCGACACATTGAATGGCGCCACCATAGCCCTGCCATTAGATCGATTTACTAAACAAACTGAAAGATGGGTGGGGATGTTAAACAGTAACCCAAGCGCCATAAAATCCAAAAGGAGAGGGCTCACAAGGTGTGAGCGTTGGTGTGAATGCCTGGAAGTCAAAGCGAGGCCTTCAAGGTAAGAGAGCCAAAATGAGTTGGGGTAATGTTTCACAAACCAACGGTGAAAGGAGGGAGGGTTGAACGTGGTCAGAGAACAAATTAAGCCCATATCACAAGGCACAACTGTATTCAAATGTAAAACATGCAAGAGATGAGGACAAAACGTACATCAATGAAAGTGTCGAAGTTGGGATTTTATGGTGACTCATTTTTAATTTCATTGCGTAACCCCCAAAAACATTTCTTCTGGTGTCATATAAAAAGTACATCCAAATTGATTGGTATTAATGAGAAGACGTTTCATTGTATGAAACAGTGCTACAGTACATCAGATAATGCTACAATGCATGGGGCAAGAAAAGAGAACTGCAATAACGGATGTTTCTCCAATGGCTCCTCTCTGTGCATTAATAGTTTGCCCAGCCTGTACTGAGGTTGAGACTTGCAAATGGAATGGATCCCTAAGTAATACAGTACATGGTGGTGTAAGATTTTTCACAATACACAAGTCATCGGGCAGGATGATCAAATAGCCTTTCCACGGAAGCACAGTGAGCATGTACTCCTTCCCAAGAGGGTGAGCATGTCCACGCAGTAAAAAGGTGGTCAAGCTCAGAAACACCTCATTGAGATCCTGCAGTTCAAGGTGTTCCAAGTAATATAATCGGAATACGAGGTATGGGATGAAGCACACTGCCATGATGACGACGAAAGATAGACTCTTCAGCTGCGCCCCAAAGTCTTGCTGTAATGTGCATCGCTGGCATGCCTCCTGTATCAAAGCCACAGGATATTGGCTTGGAGGCCGGTCAGCAGAATGGCTACCATGATGAATAACGTACTGATAATGTAGTTGATCACCTTGGCAGAGGATCCAATGTTGTTGCCAAATCTGAAACATAATAATTAAATCTTTAATAATTAAAATCTTCAGAGATGCACTGTGCAGAGTTCTCATTCAAAACTTGTGTCCTGTGACTGCTAATGTGCATGTGTACCATTGAAAATTAATTTGTGTTTTTTCCTTTTTTTTTTTTTTCGTCAATGTCCAAGTCCATGGTTACTGGCTGTTGTAGTTTTATTTTCAAATGACTATGTGACTATTTTCGAGAACTTATTTCATAATAATTTTTTTTTTTAATCGGAATGTTTTGCCTATTTGCGGCATCACTTCGATAAATGTTCAGAATTATTTGTGTGTGTGTGCGTGTGCGTGTATATTTTTATATACAGGTGTATATAAAAATTGGGTAAATTTCAATGAGTGGGTTCTGAGTGGGGTTTGTTTGCAAGACGCAGTGCTCACCATAGCAGCAAGAGGGCGGTGTTGTGTTGAAGAGGAGCTTGACAAGCGCCTCTTTAAAAGAAGAGGACTGCACGGCCCGTCGCTAGGCAACTATGCTGCAAATGAAGACTTGTTTCGCCCAGCCGAAACTAGTTCAACGATTGAAAGATTTACAAAGGTTTTATTATTTTCTTGTCGAGGTTTCTTGCTCACTAATAGCCCAGGTAAAAGATGTTCTCCTCTATGTAGCAAATTGAAACGTTTAGTTATGATGTAAGTCCTTGTTTTGACTGCTTTGTTTTGGGCTGCTGTGCTTTAGTTCACAGTACAGCCCGAGTATTAGTACCTACCGTTAAGGACCCACTGTACTTTCAAGTGCGTTGTCTTTTTTTCGTTCAGAGTTAAACTCGTGGCCTTTAAAATGCAAATAGTAGGCACGATACTTTAGCCAACGAATTCCTTTTAAAAGTCGTTGAAGGCTTAAGTGTGTTATGCCGCCTGCTTCTTACCAATCATCAGGATTAATCAAGATGATCAGACGTGTACATGACATCACCGACGAAGTGTTGCTTATCAAGGTGCTCGTAATATTGATCAAAAGTATTTCGTTACGTAACGAGACGGCCACCCGGATGCCCGCTTGTGTACTTCCGCTTCAATTGTACCCCGTGTAACAGCGCGACGCTTGAAGTAAGTTCTGCCTGAATTGTTTCGCTTATGGTGGTCGTCGCTCATTGGAATGCGTTTGTGTTTGCAGCCATGCCTCCTCCGGAGACCTCCGTCTAGTTAAAAGAATGTGAAAGTGGGCTATTGCCTGATCTTTGCACCACATCCTGCGCATCTGCCTTTGCGAAATACTGTGAGGTGACAGCATCGGCCTACGAAACATACTGTGTGTGGGTGTGTGTGGTGGTGGTGGGGGGGTGGTAAGAGAAACTACAATAGCATGTTTCAGTTTTAAACCATTAGATTTAATTCTATTTTGAGTGACCGTCACTGTGTTGTCGTACCCATAATATAAAATTGGTAAGATTCATCTTGGAAAAGACAAACACCTTCTGTTGATGTGTTTCATTTCAGTGACATATATACAGCCGATGCGCCTTACCTGTGGTTCTGTTCCTGTCTGGGATGTGCATCTATCCAGGAGTCTACGCTGGCACTGAGCAAGTCCAACTAGGAGAGGCTGACCGTGTTTGAAGGTAAACGCATTCAACTTGAAAAAGTGAAGTTTGGAGAGGCGAGCAGCCTATAATTCATGGAGCGACACATTGAATGGCGCCACCATAGCCCTGCCATTAGATCGATTTACTAAACAAACTGAAAGATGGGTGGGGATGTTAAACAGTAACCCAAGCGCCATAAAATCCAAAAGGAGAGGGCTCACAAGGTGTGAGCGTTGGTGTGAATGCCTGGAAGTCAAAGCGAGGCCTTCAAGGTAAGAGAGCCAAAATGAGTTGGGGTAATGTTTCACAAACCAACGGTGAAAGGAGGGAGGGTTGAACGTGGTCAGAGAACAAATTAAGCCCATATCACAAGGCACAACTGTATTCAAATGTAAAACATGCAAGAGATGAGGACAAAACGTACATCAATGAAAGTGTCGAAGTTGGGATTTTATGGTGACTCATTTTTAATTTCATTGCGTAACCCCCAAAAACATTTCTTCTGGTGTCATATAAAAAGTACATCCAAATTGATTGGTATTAATGAGAAGACGTTTCATTGTATGAAACAGTGCTACAGTACATCAGATAATGCTACAATGCATGGGGCAAGAAAAGAGAACTGCAATAACGGATGTTTCTCCAATGGCTCCTCTCTGTGCATTAATAGTTTGCCCAGCCTGTACTGAGGTTGAGACTTGCAAATGGAATGGATCCCTAAGTAATACAGTACATGGTGGTGTAAGATTTTTCACAATACACAAGTCATCGGGCAGGATGATCAAATAGCCTTTCCACGGAAGCACAGTGAGCATGTACTCCTTCCCAAGAGGGTGAGCATGTCCACGCAGTAAAAAGGTGGTCAAGCTCAGAAACACCTCATTGAGATCCTGCAGTTCAAGGTGTTCCAAGTAATATAATCGGAATACGAGGTATGGGATGAAGCACACTGCCATGATGACGACGAAAGATAGACTCTTCAGCTGCGCCCCAAAGTCTTGCTGTAATGTGCATCGCTGGCATGCCTCCTGTATCAAAGCCACAGGATATTGGCTTGGAGGCCGGTCAGCAGAATGGCTACCATGATGAATAACGTACTGATAATGTAGTTGATCACCTTGGCAGAGGATCCAATGTTGTTGCCAAATCTGAAACATAATAATTAAATCTTTAATAATTAAAATCTTCAGAGATGCACTGTGCAGAGTTCTCATTCAAAACTTGTGTCCTGTGACTGCTAATGTGCATGTGTACCATTGAAAATTAATTTGTGTTTTTTCCTTTTTTTTTTTTTTCGTCAATGTCCAAGTCCATGGTTACTGGCTGTTGTAGTTTTATTTTCAAATGACTATGTGACTATTTTCGAGAACTTATTTCATAATAATTTTTTTTTTTAATCGGAATGTTTTGCCTATTTGCGGCATCACTTCGATAAATGTTCAGAATTATTTGTGTGTGTGTGCGTGTGCGTGTATATTTTTATATACAGGTGTATATAAAAATTGGGTAAATTTCAATGAGTGGGTTCTGAGTGGGGTTTGTTTGCAAGACGCAGTGCTCACCATAGCAGCAAGAGGGCGGTGTTGTGTTGAAGAGGAGCTTGACAAGCGCCTCTTTAAAAGAAGAGGACTGCACGGCCCGTCGCTAGGCAACTATGCTGCAAATGAAGACTTGTTTCGCCCAGCCGAAACTAGTTCAACGATTGAAAGATTTACAAAGGTTTTATTATTTTCTTGTCGAGGTTTCTTGCTCACTAATAGCCCAGGTAAAAGATGTTCTCCTCTATGTAGCAAATTGAAACGTTTAGTTATGATGTAAGTCCTTGTTTTGACTGCTTTGTTTTGGGCTGCTGTGCTTTAGTTCACAGTACAGCCCGAGTATTAGTACCTACCGTTAAGGACCCACTGTACTTTCAAGTGCGTTGTCTTTTTTTCGTTCAGAGTTAAACTCGTGGCCTTTAAAATGCAAATAGTAGGCACGATACTTTAGCCAACGAATTCCTTTTAAAAGTCGTTGAAGGCTTAAGTGTGTTATGCCGCCTGCTTCTTACCAATCATCAGGATTAATCAAGATGATCAGACGTGTACATGACATCACCGACGAAGTGTTGCTTATCAAGGTGCTCGTAATATTGATCAAAAGTATTTCGTTACGTAACGAGACGGCCACCCGGATGCCCGCTTGTGTACTTCCGCTTCAATTGTACCCCGTGTAACAGCGCGACGCTTGAAGTAAGTTCTGCCTGAATTGTTTCGCTTATGGTGGTCGTCGCTCATTGGAATGCGTTTGTGTTTGCAGCCATGCCTCCTCCGGAGACCATGTTCTGTTCCCAGCAAATCAACATCCCGACGGGACTGCCGGAAGTCCTCAAGAACTTCACGAAAGCGGCCATCCGAACTCAGCCCAAAGACCTGCTGGTGTGGTCTGCAGCGTGAGTTCATCTGTGATGCTCTGTCAGGTGTATGCTTGATAAGAGCGATGCCCTGCGTCCAGCATCACTGCACAAAAAGCCCCCTTTGACCTCTGCGTCTCACATTTGCACTGATTTGGCTGTCATTGGATCCCACGAGCTTCTTTGTCACTGGCCCTCGACAAATAAAAGACACCGAAAAAATGTCAATGAACATGTGTAACCCTACCGGTCTATTACTGGCGATTGGAACTTAGCCACATTTACAGAAATTGAAATTAGTTATATAGTGAAACCAAATCATTGTAATGTGTCATTAGCTACAAAATACGTCACCATCCTGACGTGGAGCCTGGCTGTCAAGTTTTGTCGTGGGCGACACACTACTGAGGCTCGCCCTGCAGAAGCAGCAGAGGAGAATACTGTACCTCCACGACACGGCCTGCTGCCGGGTCACTCACAGTTCACCGCTGTGAGTGAGTGGCTTGGGGAGCAATTTGCATCTTGTTACTTTGCCAGCCGGAGAAGCCTCCTGGCCTTAAAAATGACCTGAAGCGCGGTTGACCAAGGACAGTCCACTATTTACGCTTTCCCTGAGCTTGTGATATTTTCAAATGGAATTCTTGTACTCATCACACGTCCATTTTTGACAGCTACTTCGATGCGTTGGCGAAAGGAGAGATTCTTCCAGTCAAGGAGAGGCTGGAGATTAATTTTGGCAGCCAGACAAAAGATGCGATGCTGACTCCAGGTCTGCTAAAGACTCTGCATAAACAGGTACTGTAGTTTACTGTATTACTGTATGTCTTTTTCTGTTGTATTTGCTCATTAGTTCCTTTCTTAAAAATAAAATGTTTTTTCCCCCCCTAAAGCTTAATAAAATGAACCTCTAATTGATGCCAGATACTCGCCGGTTTAGGTCGGACACAGAAAGTCAAGACGTTTGAAAATATAATGGCATAATAGCCATAAAACTTCAATGGTATCACACCTTATGGTTTTTGTTTGTTGTGAATGAGAACATCATGTTTGTTGTCTCTCAACATAAACCAAAACCACATCAGTTCATCCTCAACACACAATTTCCATTGTACCAAGTTGTATTTCTGGTGCTTATTATAAATCAGCATCTTTTTTAAAGCAGTTATCATATATGTTTCTGTTCCATAGCTGTCCTTTGCGGAAACATGCGGCAGGGAAATGTTGCAGGACAAATGGAAGGCTTTGTGTCTGCCCATGGAACAGCTGGAGAACATGCTGATCCTGGGCAACTTCAGCATGGACGTCAGCTGGATGGAGTTTTTTGCGCTGGGATGCAGTGCTCTGGGAGATGTGAGATTTTTACACTGTACTTAGTTTGATATGTTTGAGATGATTCTTCCTTTTATCAGGGTCTCTAGACGTTTAAAACGATGACACCATGCATTCTGCTTCCTTAAGTCTGTATTTCCTCTGTAAAATGTGGCTGGGCATTTAATTCCATTTAAATAAACACACACACAAAAACTATATACAAAGTTCATCAGAAAAAGGCTACACTGCAGGGGAGCCCAACGGCGGGGGCACTGTAGCTCATTTGGAGTCATGGAAGGCATTCACGGGCAACGGCCCTCCATGACACCGACACTGAGTGACAGTAAAATTTCATGCATGGCGAACATTTGGGAATGATGTGCTCAATGCTCGTTGAGCTGGAAAAAAAGATGAAGTAAATGCTATTTACGACTTTGACCGCACGAGGGCAGTCAAGCTCCATATTCCTGATGCTTTGGTGCGCGTGTTCCACCATACTGTCTATTCTCTTTTCCAAGTCTCTCAAGACCTCGCTCAAGGTGGCCTGTGAGATCCTGACCGAGGATGAGGAGGGGGGTGCCGCGAGGATCCCTTTTGAGATATTTTCATTGCTGTGCACCTACCTGGCAAATCTGGACCCAGAAATGCCGCAGGGCCACATCGATGGCTTCCTCACGAGCTTGGAGCCACAAGTGTAAGTTCATTTTTTAAAATGTATTTTTATTTATTTTTTTTGTATGGAGTGTATAACTTCCCGTTGGACTTATCTTGGAGTCCAAAACACTTAATTTTTACTTCCGGCCCATGCATGGCAATTTCATTGAGTTGGTGGTAAATTCATAGACAGTTCTGGCCACAATATTCCCTTTGTACGGTCGAGAGACTTGCACAACCAAATAGGATTCAATCGAAGAGGCGTCTTATAAGCTCCACGTGTGCAAAGAAATTGCAGCGTTGCAGAATTGAGGCCGTGCGTTGGAATCTGGGCTCCAGCATTTCTGTGTGGCGTTTGTATGGTCTTCCAGTGCTTGCGAGGCTTACAGGGCCTACTAACATTCCAAAAACATGTTACATGGCTTGTGATTGGTTAGCGCTCGGCTCCAGCTCACCCGGAAACCCTCATGAATGAGAAAGGTTGTGCCCGACTACACTGATCCACCCAAGTATGCAAAGCTGTTTTACAACATGACAACTGAGAACATTTGGACCTCTGTTTGGCCTCAGCTTGAGGGTGGACCTTGTTGCGCAACTGCCATTTTTTTTAACGACAGTATATCTCCAGAGACATGACAAATGTGGCAATGTAGTGCAAAATAGAAGACGAGCAAGTGGACACAAAAGGCCTCCTTCTGTAGCCCTGGATGTTGTGTAACACGTTACTGAACAGCCTAATTGAGGCTGGATGTACTGCAGAGAAGTTTTAGCCGTCACTTTATTGGCCGCGACAGCATTCGAAGACGTTTGCACATTGGAACATTTTGTCCACTGACGTCTTATTTCAGAATCTCTGTGATGCGTTCTAAATTCACAATAACTTCCCGAAGGAAATCACTTGGAGTCAGTTAATGGGTCCCAGGCTCAAAGGGTCGCCATCATAAACTGTCGTACAAGCGTAAAGAGAAATTAAGAGACATGTATCTGCAATTAGTTAACCTGTTGGGCTATGCTGATCACATTTCCTCTTTACTTATTTTGTGGCAACACACACACACACACAAATAGGAAAAAAAGTTATGGGTGGGGAGTGGCATTAATATGTCGGATGCTCGCTGAGAACTCTATTTTGGACATATTGTGAATTCTTTGGATGAAGTCAGTGTACCTTTTAATTGTGTTGATTTAGCTCGATTTGCTATTAAGTGACCTAGAGTTGCCTATGTGTGTAAACTGGAATGGGATCGGCTCCAAGTTCTCATTGAACATGAGTTTCGATGTAACAGGTTAATTCTGAACACAGTTAAAAGTGCATGCACACTTGTGCAACCTCATTATCTCAGTGGTTTCTTTTTACTTTCCCTTTTGAAAATTTATATAGGCTAATTGTTTTTTAATCACAAATCCCTTGTATTTAAACAAGGGGTGTGGACTTTTCCAATCCACCGTACATGTTTAAGGGTGTAATATAGGTGTTGGTATATTGTGGAAAAAAAAACCCAAGTCTTATGTTGCAGGAAACTGCAGCACGGCATGATCAAACCTCTTGACTTCATCCATCGGGAGGATATGAAGCCGCCCAATGAGTCATCGGACTAAAGTTGAGCAAACCAGTGTCATGACCTCTGAGTGTGTGATATGGGGAAAAAAACAAACCCAAAAAAGCTCTACATTTGGAATCTGGATGATCTGCAAGCATACAAGAGGGAACCACGGCTGTGATTAGCAGTTGTCGGTCCAGCTTCTCCCACCCAACCCTCTCATCTTTTACTGACGATGTCATCATCCTGGCATATTGGAAAATGCTTAATTCATCACCGAGGCAACACTGAACAACTCAACCGTTCAACAGTTGAGCGCTAATTCCCATGAATTCAATAACTATTGAGCTGTTGACACGGGTGTTATCATTCCCTCACAGAGGTGTGTGTGTGTTTGGACATGTGCAATAATGTCTCTATTCATCCCTCTTTTGGAAGATTTGAACAATAAACGAAGCTATTTCTATTGGCTGTATTTGGGAATGACTTTGACACACACGATCACTGAAATTATCATTCAAAACATTGTTAGGGGTTCATTGCGAGCTGATTAAAACCAGTTCATTATTGTCAGTGGACTATTCGATTCGTCCTTTTTTTCAGTGACCAGCTAATTGAATTAAATGTTTGTCCTTAGTTTCTCATGAGGCCATCGGCGTGAATAATAGGAAGAGCTCATCGATCTTGAAATAATCAGCACTCTCTCTTTGCCATTTAAAAAAACAAACAAAAAAAATAAACTTCAATAGAATCAGCAAAGACACATGTCCATTGACTGTGTGCCTGCGCCTGAGCAGTGGATGCAGAGGAGATCTTTGTGAGGCCTCGCGTATGCATCGCAGGAGTGAGCCCTATTAACATTTTTCAATTCATTAGCAAATGTTAATTGAAGTACAAGTAACTACCGTTTGTAGAAGCAGTTGCCATTTTGTTAATTAGGGCTGTGCTAAGAGAAGGTCATTTGACAAATTTGCGCGAATCCAATCACCATCGGTTACACTGGCACAATCGAGTAAGCTCTATTTTGAAAAGGTGCACGTTCCCAAAATCCATCCCAATTGTTCCAATTTTAAAAACGCAATATCCTACACAAAATAATGTAAAGGGAATTCATTTGTGCTGGGTCCAAACTGTCACTCATCAAACCTTATAATATATGTGGGTGTATGTATGTATGTATGTGTGTGTGTGTGTGTGTGTATATATATATATATATATATGTTTTTTTTTTATACGAAGCACCGTTTTTAATGAGGATTTCAAAGCATACCATATGAGCCATTATGCTATTCAAATTAAATCAAAGTCTATTTGTATTGCACATATTGCACTAAATAGGCAGACCGTTTCCTGTGTCACACTTCAATCTATTTCTGGTTCAGTGCTTCTCAAGACATTTTTCCTCTTTGCACCGCCGCTGATGTGTTTCTGTGGTGCTGTCATAAGAGACAAGTACCGAAAGATATTACCGACTTTTAAATAAGTACTTGTGTCCATATATGACAACACAAATAGAACCGGTTGTGCAATGTTGAGGCTTCTTTTTGGCCCCCATAATTAAACGACCAACTTCTTCCCATTGATGGTTTGTTCATAAATGGTCCGGAAAGTACAGTCGTGTTTGTCCACAAAAAAAAAGCCAAGTGAGACAGCCATCACATTTTATTTACAGTCCTCGGTGGCCCTCTGAATCATCCACCAAACGACTTTAGTTTGCTTTGATTGTCCATGAGAAAAATAGATTTGAATGCGAAATTGATGGTGTGTCTCAAGTTGTGTTTATTGCTACTTGTGCAAGTCCTACATCACAGCGTGTGGGTATAAAAACATGTTTTCTTCCAGGCACTTTTTGTGCTTTCAATAAACCAAGTGGTGTTTTTACGTCACTCTGCAACCAGGGAAGTGACACTATTTTTTTTTTTTTGTAGAATTCAATTTCATGTGAGTCCCTTTCCCTGGAAAGTGGATACTCCATGCAATGAATGGCCCATTCATCCAAATCATATCAAAGGCACAATCAGACAAAATCTCTTCATTCTTAACGATTCTAAACGCTGCTTTTTACGTAGGTTTGCTCCTGCTTGTATTATGAATGTGTTGAGCCCCCAAGAGACCGGCCCGCCATGTCCAAAGGTCAGTCCAGCCCTAGCTGCACCCGATGAAAATGTGTTCAAACTAACATTTTTGAGAGAGGGGGGGGGGGCGATACAGTGCTTTATCAGTCTACTGATAACTGCTATACTACAGATAATGTTCCATCCCCAATGTAGTAGCGGAACACCATTGCAAACCGAGGATAGCCTGCACTTTAATCGAGAGAGAGATGGGAAGGGGGGGGGGGCGAATAGAGGGCTGTCCCGGGGCCATGTAATCGGATTAAGAGACTGCATGGTCGGTTTGTGTTTCTCTCCCCGCCCTCCATGTCGCGGTTGGGTGCAGCGTTTTCAAATGTGTTCTCTTCTCACACGCAGACTTGGGACCTCTTTGGACGTGCAAGTTTGCGCTCATTCAAATATTGCGCGCACTCCGAATCCAGTTGGGCACCCCACGAACTCATCCGAACGACCCGACAGCGCGCTAGCGACAGAGTGCATGAGGAAGGTTACGGGCTGAGAAAGTTTGACCGGAATCCAGGCCGGAGGAGACGGCCAGTCCTATGCCCGCGCCCGGCTCGCCAGTCAGCGCTCGGCCTGAGTTAGATGGTGCTGATCACGGACGACAGGGATGGAGGGGTCGCAGCGTCGCTCCGGGTCAAGCAGCTCCAGCAGCTAAAAGCCGGCGCTGGCGTCGCTCAAATCCACCCGGCTACAGTCGAGGAGAAAGACTACCGCGGCTCGTGGGAGGTGGGCCAAGAGAACGAGGAGGAGGATTTCGAAGAAGTTGACTTCGAGGACTTGGACGACACCAGGAGCATCGTGTCCGACGACTCCTTCTACCCTCCCGATGATGCGTTCGAGGACTCCCCGTCCCCGCAGAGTCTGGAACCCGTGTCCTTCTTCCAGGCGTGCTGCACCAACAACGCCGCCATAGTACGGATCATGATACGGCACGGGCTCGAGGAGGAGGAGGTCACGCAGACGGACCGGAACAACAGGGTACGGAGGGCATTCTTAGAAACACGCGACGTGAGGGCCACCTCCACGATTTACAGTTGGACACAGCCGTGCTTTACCCAATTTCAAGGGCTTTTACCCTTGACCTTAGAGGGCAATACGGGGCCACTTTTCTATTTTAAATGTACATTACATTTACATTGGAAATTTAAATAGGCCAGGTCAATGGTAAATGAGGTAAAGACAAATACATTAAGAAATTCAACGCGTATGTAAAACATGTACAATGTTAATCATAAAATGGGGATCTTAAATTAGCAACGATCATATTAATGAAGCTAGAAAAATAATCACAAAAGCTGATAATTATATGTCTGTAAAAGTGGCATATATATATATATATATATATATTTGTTTGTGTGTGTGCGCACATAGTGAGTATCTATCCATCTGCCCATCTCTGTCCATCCATCTATCCATTTTCTAATCGTCTTATCGTCACAAGGGTCGCGGGCCTGCTGGAGCTTATCCCAGCTGTCTTTGGGGCAGTCGGCGGGTGACACCCTAAACTGGTTGCTAGCCAATTGCAGGGCACACGTAGACGAGCAACCATCCGTGCTCACACTCACACCTCGGGGCAATATTGAGTGTTCCATTAACCTGCCATGCATGTTTTTGGAAGGTGGAAGGAAACTGGAGTACCCAGAGAAAACCCACGCAGGCACTCCACGCAGGAGCACACATTTAAACGCCCTATCTTGCTTACACACTGAGATCAGTTCACTTAGGGCGTATCCGATTCTGGAGAGAAATAATTAAGCCTGGGCTTTGTGCAGAGGCTTACAGGACTATTTTAAGGCCTCGTGGGAAGGATACAGTCTGGCCTCCATGTAATACATTTTTACTGGACCAGTTTTGCCTAATCAAAATACAGAATTGAACACAACCAGTTTTTGTTTTCATGTGAAGTGAATAACTTTGTCGCTTCCATCGACTCTAACCACTGGAAACAACATTTAAAATAAAGAAAGCTTGCTTGACTGTAGATGTGTGTAAGACAAGATATGAGGGGACCGTCTTATAGCATATGTGTGACAGCATTGCTCATATTGTAGCAAGAAGAAATGTAGCAATAAGTACTATTCCCTGTTCTATGGTTGCTAGTGCACTTTTTTTCTTTTCCTCGCTGAAACCTCTGTGTAGTGAGATGACAAAAAAAAAGACAAAGAAATATAAAACACTGAGAAATTAATACTTCTCCTGCAGTCAGAAGATGCCTCAGAAGCCTGGAAAAAAAAAAAGCATGACACATACATGACACAAAACAGGCCATTAGTTCAAATTAACAGTCCAGAAAATGCCCAATACGATATTATGATTAATTTACTGGTTTCATCTGGTTTCTAATTGGCTACCGGCTGCAAAGTACAAGCTGTGCAACTTGATCTATATTTTTATAGTTGTACCCCCTGGCAAAAACTCCACGAGCCGCCATTTTTTTTACAGCATTTTTTTTTAAACCACCATACTTTTGTATGAGGACATAGTGTCCTTTTAACCCCTTCTGGGAAAGACTGTGACCCTGACTCAACAGCCTCGCACACGCAAACATCCCCGCCCCACCCCCCCTCACACACACACACACACACACACACAGAATCCATTAAGTTTAAATGAGGCCACTGTTCTCGTTAGCCCCCCGCTTACCGCCTGTCGACCACATTTTCCAAACAGGGTGAGTGCAGGCGGCGAGACAAGGAAGGACTAACACAGAATGTTGTTAGATTGTATGATAAATATTAGCGCAGGACAACAGCGCCATCAGCCCAAGCAATGCTTTGGCAGTAGCCCAGCTAGCGTGAACGATCGAAAAAATCAAAGTCATGCACATGTGATTTGATATCGCTCCAGACAGGAGTGTTCACACGTTCATCATTGAGTGGAAATGGCCCTTGGTCTCACCCTTGCACTGTTGCATCATTTATTCATATTATTATTATTTTGCAAAAAAAAAAAAAAAAAGATCTGCTATATGAGAGACATGCTTGGATCATTTTCATGAATCAGGAGGTTGACTGTCCTAATGAGTGCAGTACATCATGACATCTCTCTTCCTGTGAGTGAGAAAGATAAGATGTTCTATTTCTGGTGCTGGATCGTCCCAAGAGGATGCTAATAATAACTTGACCACATTTCTTTTGCGTGATCGAACACGCAACATAACCGCCATTTTTTGTTGCAGTAGTATGGGCTTGTGGAGTGCATTTTTTGATGAGTGCTTTTAATGCACCTGGAGTGTTAAGTAGACGTCGCCACTTTTACTCACATTTGCAAGAGGCCACCAAAATGGATGGACTTGACAGATGACAAAACTCACTTGTATTCTTTGGCATTTGACTTAGCATGACTCAGATTTGTTCTTGGTTTTGCTGTTCGGTGCTTTCTCCCGTCTTTGTTACCGATTTGTTGCTTTACTGTTGTATATGTTAGTTGCTCCATGTACAGCACTTTGTATGCAGCGATGGCTGGTTGAAAGTGCTCTATAAATACAGCTGAGTTGAGTTGAGATGTTGGTCGGGGTGTTGCCAGGAGCTGCAGTTAAATTGCAACAAATTCAGAATGCAGCCAATGACAGGCACACAACTGAAGTTGCGGACGCGAGGTCCACAAAAGCTGAAACGATGGCGTGTTTGAGTCGCAAATTGGTTTGCGGAACACGTCCAATACTGTATGTGCATATGTGTCTGTGAGACAGGCTTGCATGTGTACAAACAAAAAGACCCGTGCGGACCAGAGCCACGTGTAGTTCAAGTGAACTTTTTCCAGACAATCCACCAAGGATTGCCAACAAACATTCCCCCTTTGTCTCCTTGTGGCTCCGGGGCCTGACGACGTTAATGTGATTACATGCACTCGGCTGACAGCCTGGCTTGTTTTAATAGTTGTGTTTGTTTTGCATCATGTCCATTACGCATGGGCTATAAATTCTGCCTCAAGCAGCCGGCACCAAGGGAAATACCAAATACTCTGTCGGTGGGGATTTTATGTTGTGTGATTCCAAAGGTACAAAGTATAACATTGGATGTTGGTGTTGTTTTTTTATTATCATTCCGGTTGTTTTTCCAGGACTATCCTGAGAGTTGCAGAGCTTTCCCTCCTTATGAGCTCCTGTACATATAGACCAATTTTGATCTTGAAGAATATCATGAAACTAACGACAAGAGCCCCATGCGACTCTTTTTCATCCTTATGTTTCGGTTCTGCGTGGCTTGGGAAAATACATTGCAAGTGTCCGTCAAAAACGTGTACTGTATCACTTCTCTTCTGTTCTCCGACTGTACACTAGGTGGCAGTGTTGCTAGAACAAAAATATATTATCTTTCGTCGTTCAAAATGTGTCACACTTTCCTACAGCCTTATATATATATATATGAGAGAGAGAGACAGACAGACAGACAGACAGAGAGTGAGTTATGATATGAATAGCATATACAGTATACAAAACAGGGCTAAAGGTGCGACCCTATGAAGAGTAAATTTGTACTCGGCCATCATCAACTTTGTTTGTGTTGGCTTGTGACTGCCAAGAAAGTACCCAACTTTTACTTTTACTTTCAGCTGAATTTTCCAGGGTCATCACTGTGGCAAACATGAGCTCCCACTCCCACACAGAGCGACATTCACACGTACGCACACAAACAGCAACTCCTTTTCTGGCACCCAAAAATCAGACGGCGACTCTTGCTTATTTTTCCGCTGAGTTCAACATGTCTCGGTTTGCAGTGAAAACATGTCACATGAATTCACAAACGTCCGTGCCTACTGGCGCTGCTCTGCTCGGATTTTGCATCTCTCGGGGTTCAATATGGCAGCACAAATCTTGCGTGCGTTTCCCTCATTTCATGCTCTCACTTTTTGTCGTCTCAAGACAGGGCTGCTGGTTGCTTGTTACCAGGGTTACGTTGACGTTGTCATAGCGCTGTCCCAGTGCCCGTATCTGGACGCTAACTGGCAGGACAGCGAGGGGAACACAGCCCTCATCACTGCGGCGCAGGCAGGTCAGTCGTACAAACGCCCGACTCCATTCACAAAATTATGCAAAAAAAAAAAATGCCTTCAATTACTCGGGAACGAAGGACTCTGATCTGTTCTCTTTGTGTCTGTCTTTTCTTTAGGTCACATTACCATCACCAACTACCTGCTCAACTACTACTCGGGCTTGGACATCGAGAGGAGAAACTGTCACGGCTTCACTGCTCTCATGAAAGCCGCCGTGCAGGGCCGCGTTGAATGTGTGCGCTCGCTCATGATGGCGGGTGAGGAGAATGTCTGTACGTCAAGTCCAAATTGTTCGGAGCACCACTGCATTTCCAACCGGGGGGCCAAGAACTCAAAGATTTGAAAATACTTTTCAATGAGGAAGTTTGAAAAAAATCATGACAGTCGTTTGACCTTTTTGTTGAAGTGCTTGGTGTTCCCACCCTGAAGCGTTGGAGTTCCAAGAGTGTAACGTCATCGCAGATCTGACTCATTTCCTCAAAGCACAAATGCACCCCCGTCTTGTTCCTATCAGGAGCCACTCTAAACGCTCGAGACTGTGGCCGCCAAATGACCGCCAGAGAGTGGGCCTTGTTCACTGGGCGCTATGAAACTGCCTGGGTGATGGCCCGACTGATGGAACGATCCACACCGGATCAAATATGTGACGCGTACAGGTAAAAACCAAAATTCCTCCTCTTGGTCTTGCGCCTCGCTCCAGTTGAAGGCTCACAGCAACATGACTTTCTTAGTCTAGAATGGCCTCCCTTGGCATCAATGGTGGCCAAAGCCCGGGAGCCCCGAGGCTGTCTCAAGCGCTTGAGCGACACCGTGCGCGACGTCTTCAACGTTGCCAACGTCACCAATCCCGAGGACGCCGGAGTCATCGACCACCTGGTGTCTGTGACGACTGCCATCAGAAGCCCATTTATCGCCGTGACTTGTCATACGGTGAGTGGCCGGAAAGTCACTCCCTCTTCCGAGTTCGAATGGGGAAATGTTCTAAAATAGAGACTGGACTGAATAGGATTTGCCCGTTTGAGAGTGTCAACACATTTTCTCTGGTTTATAATAACCATTTTGACCTTCACGGATCATGAGACGGAAATTGTACTCTTCCGTATTATCACAGCACCTTGCAGTTGGCCGGCGATTAAACGTTTGTCGCAACGCGGCACACAACCCAAAACACAGCGTGCTTTCTCATGCCGCCTGATCATGTTTTTTTGTTTTTTTTTCATGGTGTCACTCGGAACCCCATAACGTCCTAATGTCGATCCCGTCCTAAACCGCGGGCACCGGGTATTGTGTTTTGAGCTTCAGGAAAGTTGTGACAAACCCACTTGTATTTTAGGTGTGTCCTGACAGCCCCCCGAGTGTGGGCAAACGGCGCTACGCAGTTCCCGAGATCCTCCATCATCAGCGGGCCAAAGAGCTCACCGCCATCAATCCGGATAGGGCGGACACCCACCTGAAGCTATTCCAGAACTCACGGGTCACTTTGGTGCCCAAGCCCCCACCCGACCGACGGGCCAGCCTGCAGACACAAAGCACGACGCCTCGAGCCGGGAGCTCCAGCCTGGGAATGTTGGCCTATAACGGAATGGAGCTACGAAGGACCAGCCTGCTGCCTCTGCACATGTTGCTCAGGAGGAGCAGCGTTAGGCCGGGATTCACCATCCCCAAGGTGCGGGTGTCCAAGGCCCCCCCGCCCACTTATGAGCCTGAAAAGGTCCGCAGGAAGAGCAGCGCCAAAGATGGAGCCAGACACCTGCTGCAGGTCCCTAAGTGGCGATATAAGGAGCTCAAAGAGGAGAGGAGGAAAGCCGAGGAAGCCGAGAGGAGGAGATTGGAGGCATTAACCAAAGGACACCTCACTGTTGGGAAGAGGAAGTAGTCCTTCTTTTTAACGCGCACTAAACCAAAAACAGGTCATGGGTTGGCCGTTATTTGACTCAGGGTGACTCGACTTACCAGCAGTGTTCCAGAAAATGTTGATTAGTATCATGAAATGAACGGATGCAAAGAGGAAAAAAGATGGCTGCCGGCTTTATCAGCACTCATGTCATTTGCAATGTCACGTATGGATTACCCAGGGAATATTATACTTGAAAGTGTTTGAAGCTTTAACTTATTTTTCCTATTTATTGCTCTTAAAAGCAGCCATAATGGCCAAGCCTTTATTTTTGTAATTTAAAAAAAATAATAATAAATCACACCAGCGTTTTGGTGGGGAGAGGGGGGTAAAAAAAACCTAATCCAAAATCCCTTGAAGCACAACAACAAAAGCTTCATTACCTTTGTCGAAAATGACACAAAAACAGAATTACATTTGTACTAGGCTATTTTCCAGCAATACACTAAACATGAGTGGAAAATCTTGTTGCAACATATTCTACAGACAGGTTGTGCTGAAAATACTGTACTGTATTTGGTAATAAATAAATGAATTTTGCTATCATGTCAAAGCAGTTGCTCATTATATTCCATCACATCACCAATTCACCTTTTCAAACGTTTTTTGCGGGGGCCAGGGGGAGAAATTATCCTCCATTATTTGATGAAAAACACCGATTTGCCATTGATGTCTTCAGGCCATCGGGTACCATCTTGGTGCCCAGGAAACAATTTCAGGTGAGTTGAGGCTCTTCATTTTGACAAAAGTGGTCGTTTGCTGACAACTTGTGTCATCCATAGTGACCAACAAATCTTAATGACAGTTTGCATCAACTACTTGTTGATTTTCACTCTGCAGCAAGGCCGCAAATCTGCATCACCTTTTGCCAAGGGTCTGCAAGGATTGAGCGTAACTCATCCGCGATCCTAATAAGGACATGCACTATCGTGAATGGATGCATTATTATGTTGTTATTATTGTTATTTTAGTGACACTGCCTAAGGCAGCACAACAAATACATATGCACAGTATATGCCTTAGTGAAGACGATTCATTGTGTCCATAACCTACAGAGTACAGGACGCAGTAAGGTTAAAATATGATTTGTCTATTTTCCATCCATCCATTTTCTGATCCGCTTTATCCTCACAAGGGTCGCGGGGCTTGCTGGAGCCTATCCCAGCCGTCTTCGGGCAGTCGGCGGGAACCCCGAAACGCTTGCCAGTCCATCGCAGGGCACACAGAGATGAACAACCATATTCGCCCACACTCACAACTTGGGACAATTTTGAGTGTTCAATCAGCCTGCTATGCATGTTTTTGGAATGTGGGAGGAAACCGGACAACAGAGGTAAGTTGAAGGACTCCTCGCACTTGAAGAGACCAGCGCAAACCCCACATGAGCAAGGTCTCGTATTGCAGCATGCGGCCAAGACAATCATATTAGCACTGAATGCATGACATAATATTTAGGTCATGAGTGTTGCTGAACCAGCTGTTGGCCCTCAGTGTAACCTGAGGTTATGACATACTACAGGCGTGCTCCTCCTCCCGTCTATATGACCCAAATCCATCATTAATTCAGAGAAGGCTACATTTAGAAAAAGATGAAGCAGTACAGTGGAGACTGACATGATAGCAATTACAGTATGCGACCACGCGATGCTCGATGAAAGCGTGGGGATTTAAAAGAGTGTGACCTCATTCTTCTGGATCAGCACTTTCAGGAGTGCCGAGTGGGAGTTTTGCGTGGAAACCTTAATTAGAGCCCCCTGCTGGTTGCTTGTGGGACAGGACATGCAAGAATACGAGTTGAATGAGTCACACGTGTATGAATGTTATTGGATATGTGAAGAGCTTCGTACTTGATCCCGTTATTGATACTACCGTACCGCTTGTAATAATTAGATTGACAGCACGCGATTTGTGCAATGTATTTTATTTTATGTTTCCACAGGCATGTGTAAAATGCTTGGCTGTTTGTCTTGAACCAACTATTCAACACCAGCTACACAACACACCATCCCTTTTACGTTCAAAAGAGGTGAGTCAAAGCAACATAAGTCGATTCATGAGCCAACCCGTCAACGCTGTCAGAATTTCACCATATCTATTCAGTTTACCTTTTTGAATGTACAGTAGGGCTGGTGTTACCTCATGGAACACGCAACTGACACTTCACATGTTCAAATGACAGGAATACAGAATAACTCGGGCGTTTTTGAACCCCAAAAAGAGATCATTTATACAGCAGTAAGGCGTTTTAACCCTTAACACGTGTTTACTTAAGACCATGAAGAGTCTACTTGGTCGTTTTGGGGGCTTAAAAACGCCTTATTCTGAAAAGTAAGGCATTTTTAACCCCAAAAAAGACGACTATGTATAGTAAGGCATTTTTAGCACAAAACCGACCATGTATAGGAAGGCGTTTTTTTAACCCCTAAAAAACGACCACGTATAGTAAGGTGTTTTCATCCGAAAAAAACGACCATGTACAGTAAGGAGGTTTTTATCGCAAAAAGAACGACCATGTATAGTAAGGCAATTTTAGCCGAAAAAACAACCATGTATAGTCAGGCAGTTTTAGCCAAAGAAAAACGATGTATAGGAAGGCGTTTTTAGCCCCACAAAAACGACCACGTATAGTAAGGCGTTTTTATCCGAAAAAAACGACCATGTATAGTAAGGAGGTTTTTATCGCAAAAAGAACGACCCTGAATAGTAAGATGTTTTTAACCAAAAAAATGACCATTAATAGAAAGGCGTTTTTAGCGGAAAAAAATGACCGAAAAAAAACGACCATGTAAGGCGTTTTTAGCCGAAAAAAACAACCATGTATAGGAAGGCGTTTTGAGCCGAAAAAAACTACCATGTATATATAGTAAGGCATTTTTCGCCGAAAAAAAACGACCATGCATAGTAAGGCGTTTTTAGCCGAAAAAAACGACCATGTATAGGAAGGTATTTTTAGCCGAAAAAAACGACCATGTATATATAGTAAGGCATTTTTAGCCCAAAAAAAACGACCATGTATAGTAAGGCGTTTTTAGCCGAAAAAAACGACCATGTATAGTAAGGGATTTTTTCGAAAAAAACGACCAAGTATAGTAAGGCGTTTTAGCTGAAAAAAACGCCCATGTATATTTTTAGCCGAAAAAAACGACCATGTAACGTAAGGCGTTTTTAGCCGAAAAAAACGGCCATGTATAGGAAGGCTTTTTTAGCCCCAAAAAACGACCATGAAAAGTAAGGCATTTTGGGCCGAAAAAAACGACCATGTACAGTAAGGCGTTTTTAGCCAAAAAAAACAACCATGTATAGTTAGGGTTTTTTTTTTTTTTTTTTAAAAACGACCATGTATAGTAAGGCGTTTTTAGCGGAAAACAACGACCATGTATAGTAAGGCGTTTTTAGCTGAAAAAAACGACCACGTATAGTAAGGCGTTTTTGCCGAAAAAAACGACCATGTATAGTAAGGCGTTTTTAGCTGAAAAAAATGACAATGTATAGTAAGGGTTTTTTTTTTAAAAAAAGACCATGTATCGTAAGGCGTTTTAAGCCGAAAAAAATGACCATGTATAGTAAGGCGTTTTTAGCCGAAAAAAAACGACCATGTGCAGGAAGGCGTTTTTAGCCGAAAAAAAACAACCATGTATATAGTAACGAAAAAAAACGACATAGTATAGTAAGGCGTTTTGAGCTCGAAAAAAAAACGACATCGTATAGTAGGGCGCTTTTAGCCGAAAAAAACAACATAGTATAGCAAGGCGTTTTTAGCCCGAAAAAAATGACCATGTATAGTAAGGCGTTTTTAGCCGAAATAAACAACCATGTATAGTAAGGCGTTTTTATCCGAAAAAAACGACCATGTATAGTAAGGCGTTTTTAGCCGAAAAAAACAACATAAAAAAACAAAAAACGCCTTACTATACTGTCGTTTTTTTTCG